GGTTTAGGTACATAAGGGTGTCAAATAAATGATAAATTAAGCACAAAGCCTCTAATATTTTATGAAACAGCAACCTCTTGAAAGTAATAAACACTATTCCTTGTTTAAATTAAGATCATATAAAACATTACTCCAAACTGATCTGCTCTTTGAGTCTAGAGCACCTGAATCAAATGAGAGATCAACTGCTTCCCTGCATTTAAGACCTAGAATCATGCTATGAGTCTGATGTGTTAAAAGTTGTTGTCAGAACACTGAGGAAAGGGAAAAAAGCAGCTACAGACCACATAAAACACAGGTTAAAAACATCACAAACTTAACTGCTGCTGAAGTAATCCTAGAGGCAGAAGAAGCATAAAACAAAAGCTCCTAGAAAGCTGCAGGTACAACCAAGGGTGCTGGACACACGTTCTTTGCAGCTCTTTATATGCATCACATTTGTACTGGGTGAGAAAAGTGCACAAAACAGCAAGTAACCAAAAGCTGTGTGTTCTGAATACTCGATTGGAATAAAGTGGAGCACTCACTTGACAGGTTACTGCTAGGGTATGACACAGCTGTGTTTTCCCAGTACGAAACTCCCCAAAGAGCTCTGTGATGGATCCTGTTTCTATCCCTCCTGAGAGGAAAAGAAGAATTTTTTACAGGTCATATATTTCAAACAAAGACCATGTATAAAGTATTCCATTTAAAGACTCAGTTTAACAATTACTTTGGTTAAAAGATTCAGAAGTCTAATTGGAAAAACTGGATTTCACCCTGACATTTGTTCGTGTGCAGGTAAGAACTTTAGGTATGTGGAATTGTGAAGATGCTGAAAAAGCTGAAGCAACTTGGTTTGATTTTTTATTACAAGCAGGAACAGGGAGAAGCTGATCCCTGGTTTTGCTTTCTTGAAATAGGTCATAGACCAGAATAAATGAGAAACATCCAAGATGAACCACTCTGGGTATTGCATCGTGATTAAAAGGATTTAAAACTATTTCTGCAGCTTTTAAAACAAAATAATTTGTGATAGAAGAGAATGGTAATTGAGATTTTTAATCCAAACCCTGTGTGTTTTATGTGTTTTTGTGCAAGGACCATATTCATAGGAAAAAACCCTCACAGCTAACTGAGGTTAACCAGTAGAGAGAACTGAAGTTCTTACCTTGAAGAAGTTTATCAAGTTCTTTGGAGCCAGTGGTGATCTGGATGATCTCTGACCTTCGCTGGTGGAATTCTGTTGCTGTGGTGAAACCCATGGGGACCAGTTTAGCTGCTTCAGCCTAAAGGAAACCAAACCCAGCAGTGAAAGGAGAGATCACCCCATTTGTTTCCCCCTTCTAGTAATGAATACTGTAATGTTTTGTTTTGTGGAGAAGCCCCATATAGTTTCCTGTGTACATTGTATTTCACAGACCATTTATCAGTTGGTACCTCTGAACAGAGCTGAAATTCTGCTCAAAGACAAAGCACTAACATCATCTGTGTAATTTCTGGGACACTTCCCTCCTCACCCCCCCACACTTTCAGTTCAGTTCTGTCCCTGGGAAACCTGAAACACAGAGGGTGGGCATACAGCCCAGCAGGAATGCTGTGCTCCTAAATATTGACTAAACATGCAGAGCAAGGAAAGAACTGGAGTTCAACGCTGTGCTGGCTCAGATTCTGATAAATGAGAACTAGTGTGGCAGGAACTCCATGTTCTTGACTAGGATATACAAGATCAATGACTCTGGCTTCCCTCTCAGTCCCGGAAGGAAACCCCTTGTCTCAGGGTGAATACCTGTCCAAGGTGCACAACTAACACACTCAAGAGCAGCAGCTGTACTGGGACAGTTCCATAACTTAGAATCCCACACTGGTTTGGGTTGGAAGGGGCCTTGAAGCTCTTCCAGCTCCAACCACCTACCATGGGCAGTGACACCTTCCACTAGGGCAGGTTGCTCCAAGCCCCATCCAACCTGGCCTTGAACACTGCCAGGGATGGAAGTGATGACATCCTGCTTTTAAAAGTACTTCCTTTGCTTGAGGCTTATCATAAGCTGCCTTATCATGAGGAATACTGAACTAGAAATGACAGTCATCTCAGGCACACTCCATACCCTCCATGATTCTCACAGACCTTTCCAGCAGTTCCTCTTTGCTTCCTGAGGCTGGTCTTTGTGGTTGTTGTCTCTTCTCATCAAAAGTCACATCATAACTCTCATCATCTTTACTGCCCTTCTCAGTGTATTATTAAAGGTGACCTTCCAAAATCACTACACAGCTTTAAGCCAGTAGAAATAAAACTTCTTCACTATCTTGGGTTAAGGCTTTTCCATAATTCCTTACCAAGATTTTGTCAGCTTTGGCTTCACTGATGCCTTTGATGTTTAGGAGCTCCTTCTTTGGTGCATAAGCAACAGCCTCCACTGTGTGAAATCCAGCTTCTTCCAATTTCTTCACATCGTTTGCATTTATACCACATTGCTAAAGGGAGGTGAGACAAAAAGGACACACTGAGAGACAGATTCAAAATCTAACTTCCACTAAATGCCCTCAATTGGCTCCAGCAGGCCTGGATCACACGCTACTATTACAAGTCAGATTCTGAAGCTTACCTCCCTACTCACTCAATATGCAAAGAATCAAAAAAACAAGAACCTTTTACCAGTGTAATGTTAGGATATTGACCATGTTGATGCAGAGAATGGGCAGAAGATTCTATTCTCTGGTTTAATAGATGCCAGAAGTGACCAAGACACACCAGGACAGGGTATGGAGTAAGGCAAAGTAACATAAGGCACAGCTGTTAACATGCTGAGAGATTTGGTTTGGGGTTTTTCTGACAGAACACAAGAATTCAGCCACACAATTTCAGATGCGATTGGTGTTTAAGGAAAACGACTAACAGATTCCTTGAGAACTTACTCTGGAGCCAACTCTGACCCACCTCTAACCGAGCAATGAGCTGGGGCCCAAAGCTCTCCTCCTCTGCTGAAGTATCCGCATTCATTTCCAAGGGCATCTGCATGGCCATGGCCCGGCGCGCTCAGTCAAGCCCCACTAGGAGAGACCACATCACTTTGTGAAGCAGCACGCACTACCCAAACAAGATACATGTGCAAAGTGCTTCAGAGCATGTTCACAGGTCATCCAAAGCAGTAGGTGGTGGGTTTGTCCCCTCTTAGCTATGAGGGGGAATCTCTTGTGTGCTTTCTTAGGTAGTACTAAACATTATTACCAAAACCCCAAAACAACTCCTGTGTTACCTGCTGAGGAATAAGAGCTTTAATGGAGAGCTCCACAGGACTGAGAATATCACAGAATTCATTTGATATTAGCAGTATCTCATTTTAGCAGTAAGTGACATGGCCACGTTTGTAGATCACAGAATCCCAGCCTGGTTTGGGCTGAAGGGACCTTAAAGCTCCTCCAGCTCCAACCCCTTCCACGGGCAGGGACCCCTTCCACTGGAGCAGCTTGCTCCAAGCCCCTGTGTCCAACCTGGCCTTGAGCACTGCCAGGGATGGGGCAGCCACAGCTTCTCTGGGCACCCTGTGCCAGCGCCTCAGCACCCTCACAGGGAAGAGCTTCTGCCTAAGAGCTCAGCTCAGTCTCCCCTCAGGCAGGTTCAAGCCATTCCCCTTGGCCTGGCCCTACAGGCCCTTGTCCAAACAGACCCTCAGCTGCCCCCTCCAGGACCCGCCGCCTGCCGGCAGTGCAGCAGCGCCAGGGCCCTTCCCGCTGCCGGTCACCCCATGTCCCCCGAGACCAACACCGCGGGCAGCCGGACCGGGCCCTCAGCACCCGCAGCCCCCCTGCAGGCCCTTACTTTTCCTCCGGCCACCTCCCCCCCGTTACTTGCTCCCACTTCCCCTCAGAACCCCGCGCCGCGCTCCTCAGGCCGCCCAGGCCTTCCTCGGCCGCCCGCCCGGCCCAGCCGCTCCCGCCCTCGGCCCCGCCGGGAAGCGAGGCGGAGGGGAAGGAAGGGCCGAGGCTGGAGGGGAGGGAAGGGGAAGGTGGCCCCGGCCGCTCTCACCCGCGGGGCCGGGCCCGGCGCAGCTCCGGCCGTTGTGGTTGCAGCCGCCGCCGCCGCCGGTTCAGAGGAGCCCGCCACGGCGTCACGTGACGGAGCGCACACGCAAAGCCCCGCCCCTCCCGGCGGCTCCTTAAAGGGGCCGCAGCCCTCCAGCGGCGTTGGGAGCGGAGCCGCCGGCGGTGGGGGTCACACTGCGTGGGTCCTGGGAGCAGCACCGGGGCAGGGAGGGTGGAATGGGGGCAACAGCTGGGAGAAGAGGAGGAGGGCTGTTCCCTGGGTGTGCTGCTCCTTACGAGCATTCTCACCGTAACTTGGCTTGCCAAATGATAGAGGCTTTGTAAATATGCTGTATCTGTTAACAGTAACGCAGACAGTTGTTAACAATCGGGCCCTATCGATGGCAGATGTTGTGATCTTTAAGTCCTAATCCCCCAAGAGATGTTTAAATAAGAACATCAAATGCAAATGCAAATTAAATCTAAGTCTGGGATTGCTCCCTTTCTGCCTGATCCCCTTTTTCTCCTGCAAACACTTGGCTTGGCTTTGTTTCACCTGCTCCATTGAGTCAATAAATTCCACCAAAACCTCACCTCAGTCTTCATCACTATCAGCTCCTTTGGCCTGTGGAGATGCTGAAAGAAAACGAAACCAGAGGAACAGAAAAGCCCAAATGAACCGTGCTCATGACATGCTGCTGCAGCACCCTCTCCTGGTTACAACGACCTTAGGAAATGGAAAAGTCCAGGTATAATTCTCAAGTTATTTGCAGCTTCAGCACTATTTTTCTAGTTAAAAAAAGCAAATTGTTCTGCAAAAGACACACCATAGATAAGCCAACACTAGGAAAGGCAAAGGAAACAAAACCAAACCCCCAAAACCCCAATCAAATAAAAGTCAAGTTATATTAAGTCCTCACAAATAGCCAACAAAACTATTGCACTAGGAACAGGCAAATTTTCAGCCACAGGTTTAGAGAAGCCACGAATCACAAGGATGAGCAATAATTCAAACATTTAATGAACTTCAACCTTCCAAATGGAAGGAAAATCTGTAAAAGAAGGCAAAAATAGATAAACACAAACACACAAGAACGTATTTTACAGACACCAAGATTTGCTCCTGCCTCCAGAAGGGGCAGCTGAGAACTGGAGGCACTTCTACACAATACACTCCCTTAGGGTCAGATCCATTCCTACACAATATACAAAATATATACAGCAGAACTGGAGGCTGCACATGGTGTTAGATCCACCTGAACTTAAACAGCTCCATCTCCACACTAAAACGAACACATTCCAAACTCAGACAACATACTGGAACCCATAGAGACTGTGCTGGACAAAGAGCATCAGAACAAGCATCCAAGATGCGGATGGACCCCAGTGGCTTCCAGTCTGGTGCACCACCAAGTCCATGGTAAAGCCTAAGGGTCTTTAGTCTTCATGCCAAGAGTATTTCTGCCTTTGGCTACCTGGTCATGTATTTGTTAATCAGAAGCAGGACTGCAGTTGCTGTCTTTTGGGAGGAAATCCAGGGAATGAATAGAAGTCAAACATGATGGGCTCTGTTGAACGGCCACACCAGAGTGAAGAATGATAATGGAAATTCCAGCCATAGTAATTTAGAAAATACTCATAATTGGTTTAAACAAGTGCTTTGTAAATCAACCCATAACAAAATTAACATCCTATGTCAGGCAAACATCCATACTAGGGTGGACTATATAAGGAAGCCAAGACCACTGGTAACTGAAAGAAGGTAAAAAGCAGGTTGGGTTTACCCAAGACATGAGAAATTCCTTTCTCCTCTTTAGAGTCCTCTGCTTCGATAAAACGTGTACCCTACACCAAGCACCCTGGATGTCAACAAGAGTAGTTAAGAGCTGAGCAGGTACAGCTAACAGCACTCTTGTTCTAGGGAGACAACTTGAACTCCCAACACTGAAATCAAAGAACATCCAGTCTGACTTCCTCAGTCCTGCCAGTGGATCCAGGGAATCGCCTGGGGTCCTGGAGCAAGCTCTGGTGAATGGAGCTGACTATTCTCCGCAGATAGTGATAACCAACTGGTACCTTGGAGACAACAGCAGAAATCTCTTCCTCCCTGAGAAAGATAAGAATACCACATGTTTGAGAGGACATGGAGCATTTAATCCCCTTCCCCAGCTTTGACAGTGAAGTCATGTGGGTTGGTTCCTTCTGTGCAACTCACCCAATATTTCCAACGTGGGTTTGGACAGTAAAAGGCAGTGGAGCAGAGGGGTAGGTGGCAGATAGAGACAGGGTCAACCCAAACTTGGCAAAAACTTTTGAAGCAGAGAACAAAAGCTTCACCCTGCAAAAGAAACACAAAGATCAGGATTAAATACCCAAGAATTAGGTTCCAGAAGTGAAAACAGATGTTGTAACTAATGCAACAAGCTCAGTAACTTCTAAAGAGATCTAGAACAGACCAACAGTAACTTCATAAATAAGGTTAAAAGAACCTTTCCACTCTAATAGTATCAGCACTCCTTAGCACACAGCTAAGCTCACAGAAAAGGCTAATACATCATCCACAGAACCTTTCAAAAATGATGGGAGAATATAGAGTAATAATAACAAATATGCTTTCTAGTTAACATAAAACATTCCCAGGTAGCTAAAAAGTTTCCTGCAGTTTGCAGTAGGACTGTTTTGCCTCCAATTCCATAATTGTAAGATGGTTTCATGAATCCAACCCATTTAAATCAGCCCAGATTTCTGCCTAGCACAGTCCTCCTGTCTGTGACAACATGCAGGAAGGCCAGAGTTGAAGTTTATTATGAATATGAGTAAGACCATGGCCAAGGACACAATGCTCAGGAAGCAGATGCTCTGGGATAAACTACAAGCAGAACAAACGTCCTTCCCAGGTACATCTCCCACAGTTTGCAACTCTCTGGGCACAGGCTGCCCTGGTACCTGTTTTTTGTCTTAACTAAGAGCTTTAATGGGGTTTGTGGCATTTAGAGCACTGCTTTTGCAAAGGATACCACCAAACTAGAATAACCAAGGGGGGCAGCATCGAGGTATGCAGAGCACGGCAAACAAGTCACTTCTTACTTAGGGAAATACACCAGTAGTAGATAGATAAGGTGAAGCAGTATTTATCTTGTTCCACCAGGACATGCCACAGAATTAGGAAACAGTACAAGAAAATGAAGACTAAAGAAAATAAACTTGAGTTTAGGGGCAGCCATCCTCCAGTGATTGATTCTGCTCGGATGAAGCAAACAGATTAAAAGAAGCAAAGCACTAATACACTTGTGCCTCTGGTTCCTTTGCATTGCTACACTCTGGCCTAGAGATTACATGACAGAGCCAAGTCAAACAGGGAAATGGCAAGGAAGGAGAGGATACACAATGGTAACAAAGTGGCTGAATCCAAGAACATCTTAATTTCCATGTGTTTGGATATTATAGTGTAATTGTATTAAAATATATTAGATTGGTTTTAAAACCAGTTGCATAAAACCTCAGCTTCAAGAAAACCCATTGAAAGTAGTTCAGTGTTTTGTTTCTGATTATCTAGAAGCACTCTCTGAAGGTGAGGTGCATCTGAAGTTACTCACTTTGTGTCACTGATCTCTGTCTTCAGAAGATTGAACTTTCCACCCCATCTCTCCAGATATTCCATCTCCTCTCCCAAGATCTTGCAACGATTCACCACCAAAGAGATGTCATGGAGAGCCTAAGTGGGCAATCAGAAAAGCAATCACATTGCACTCAGGCTGGTGGTCTGTGTAACGCTTAAACATGGTTTATCCCAAAAAGCATACCCTAGTAGTAGTTTAACTGCTCTCTCAGTTTGGATGGGAAGGTGAAATGGCTCAAGCATAACAACAAATACACATTCTTCGCCTTAAGTTAAGTTTCTCCCTTCAGTCTTTGCCAACAGGGATATACAGACATGCAGGATTTGGCTTGGCACTTCCAACCATTCATTCTTAGGGAGCAGAATGGCATTCAGCTCAATTCTTTCTTTTCTACCAGCAGGAGAAAAGGATTTTAAGAAGTCACCAAGACAAGCAGGCATCACTGCAGCAAACAAGGAAGCAACCACAGCTTTTACGGCTCTTGCCTTCACAGGTACTTCCCCTCGTATCTCATGAACCAGATTTTGATTTGCATGGATTAAGCATTCAAGAAGAGGTTTTGGTTCTCAGTATCAGCCCTATTCTCCATGGCAGGAAGGAGTTAAGGTTTTTCCAGTCTTACTGGAAAATTTCTTTGCAGGAGCATTACCTGGGGCAAGTAGTACAGTGTGGGACACTTCTCCTGCCAGCAGCCCCGACTTTCAATGAACTGGAAGATAAGCCTTCGGACTAAACACGAGGGAGGTGGTGCTTTTTCCTCTGTGAAAAAGCAAAACACATTGGCAGAGACCTTTAAAAGCCATGCAGTAATGCATGAGCAGATACACCACAGATTCAGAGATTATCAAGGCAGCTACATTGAAGCTACTCAACAGAATCTTACCATCCAAGAAGGATTCAAAGTTCAGGCTAACTATCTTTCTGGAGGGATCTTCACCAAAAACATCACCATCTGAGAAGGAAAGGATAAAACCCAAATAGCAGTCATTTCCATACTTAGTTCTGGTGGAGTTACAGCCCTTCCTCTTCAGAAACAGCCATTCATTTTGTGCTTTCTGAATTCACATAGAAACCACGGATAAACATATTCAAAGCCACTCCCCCTAGCTCACAGAGTCCTGCTGTAGCAGGTTTTCTTTCCTTTCAGCAGATCTTCTCAAATACAGAAACTTGAGCTTTCTGTTGTTTAAAACTATTGAACCGTTCAGATTTATAAGCCTGAAGCCTGGCAATGTTGGGACTTACCTGTGGGGGTTCCAAACACCACTGTGAGTTCAATAGAATCATAAAGAAAACTAAAGACTGCACGTTGTTCACACCACTCCGTTACCTGCCACTCGGTGAAGCTAAAAAGAAGAGGAAGAAAACACCATCACCCTGAGTGTCAACCAACCAGCCAGCACAATTATCTGAAGGACAAAGATCAGAGTATTAAGCCCACTTGCAGCTTTGATCACCTAATATCATAGAATCCCAGAGTGGTTTGTGTTGGAAAGGACCTTAAAGCTCATCCAGTTCCAGCTCCTGCCATGGGCAGGGACCCCTTCCACTGGAGCAGCTTGCTCCAAGCCCCTGTGTCCAACCTGGCCTTGAGCACTGCCAGGGATGGGGCAGCCACAGCTTCTCTGGGCACCCAGTGCCAGCGCCTCAGCACCCTCACAGGGAAGAGCTTCTGCCTAAGAGCTCAGCTCAGTCTCCCGTCTGGCATCTCTCTCTCTCTATAGGTATATTGTTGATATACCAACAAAATCTTCATTTTCCAACACAATGTAGGATTCTGTGAGGAACACAACATTGTCCATTTTACATAAATGCTCTTTATGAAAGATGAGGAGAGTCAGATATAGAAAGACTAAACGTAGAGTATGACTGCAGAGTCGTGACTAGAAAGCCAGTGCAGCACACCCTGGAGTTCACCAAGGCTTTACTGCTGCAAGTACGTGTGCATCCAGAGATTCCCAAATCAAGTAACAAGGAAAACCAAACCCAAACCCATTTATACACAAATATGAGACCCCAGAGCTATCTGATAAAAGTAAACCCCAAAGGTCTTTTCCTTACTCATATCTTTCCAGGATTTCCTGACAGCTTTTTTCTTTCTTCTTTAACTGGTTCATCTCAGCCACCATTTGCTTATTCTCAGTCTCCAGTTCTGACAGTTCTCTGCACAGACAAACCAACCACGTGAGAAGTAGCACATCAGTTGAAAACCACTAACCCTCTAAACCCTGAATGTGGACATGTTTTTTGAGGTCTCTAGCTCCTCTTTGACATTTTACCTTTGAAGTTGTTCTTCTTGGGCCTTGAGGTTTTCCAGTTCTAAGAGAAAGGGGAAAAAACTCTGAGAGAAGAGCCACAAACACTTGCTGTGCAGTCACTGTCCTTAACATGAAAGATCTCAACTTGATGGCTGTTACTCCTGGATACAGATGTGTGGTCAACAAAGGCTAGTAGTTATTCAACAACTGAAGCGCTGAATGTGATGGTCAGCACACACTATTCAAATTACACTATAGCAAGTTCTAAACTCTGTTTTTCCAGGGAAAAACAGTCGTTTTCATACTTCAGCATCTATGTAATGAGCTATATCCAGTGCAGAAAAGGAAGCAGTAGCGTTTGCATCCATATCAGAGTTAATATATCATGTGGGGATTGAGTTTCACCCCCTCCAGAGTTATAAACCAAACCAGAAAGTGCCATCTGCTGGTACCATTACCTTCCTGCAGGTTTTTCCCTTCTGCCCTTTCATCTCTGCCATCACAGCCTGCTTCCCCTTCATCCCAGTTAGAATCTGTGGGAAGAAGTATCAGAACTGCCAGATCAATATTTAGATTCCATTTTATTTGTTGATTTCTAGTTAAGGCATTGGAAGAAAATTCAGCTGGAAGAAAAGAAGTGAAAATACTCAGAGCATCCTTATGCACCAGTGCCAAGGACTGACTGCAGCTTGTGTGAACAGAGGTGACCACTGAAAGAGCAGCTCTGAAGAAAACCAGACCCCAGCACATGGGGCAGGGACTGCAAACACATACCTGCTCCCAGAGCAACAAGACAGCTCTCTGCCTCCTTCAGCAATCCATCCACCTGCTCTATTCTGGACTGGAGCTTCCCACGTTGTTCCTAAGATGGGATAATTGTGCTCAAATCAATCACATTTAAAAAGCTGAATTGTCTTATGGGACCACCATGTGGATCTTTGCTTGCTATGAAACTAATTAAAGAAGCTAACATATCCTGCTGTTAGAAGGAAGAGGCAGCCCAACAAAAACTAAGGCAGTAGCAATGGTAGCAGTAGATACTCAACACTGCATCTTTCTCATGACTTTGGTTATGAGGGATAAGACATGGAAGTAAATACATTCCTAGAGCTTTTAACACATGCAAATTTCCAATACCACAGTGCATTACTTCTGCTTTGCTTTGTTAGTTACTAATACTGGCATGACTACAGTATACAGAGCTAACTTTTGGTGCCATTTCCTCGAACACTCACATTTTTCACTGTTACTTTAATTGCCAAAACCCTTGGGCAGAAGGTTCCTACAGTCTAAGTGCAAGAAAGTCACTCTCCCTTTGTGCTTCATATTTGCACATAAATAAAAAGGAAGCGTGTTTAATAAGGAAACTTTCACAACAGTGCAGTTACATACAATAATCTGGCTCCTACACTTGCCAAAGACAGATAAAATATGGTAGAGGTTCCTTTCTTTAAAGCTGAACACATATTACCTGTGCACTCTGAAGCAATTTGCTGTACAAAGTCACCTTCTGGTTGTGACCCAAGATTTTGCTCTCCTTGGTGAAGTAGGATTTCATTTTGTTCATTTCTGCTCCAAAGTTCTTCAGCTGCAATAAATGGGAAATACAGAAGAGAAAGTGAATGGGAATGTGCCACAAAAGATTACTCCATCAACCCTTTACACTCTTTCCTTTCTCTGCTCCTCCCAATTTTCCTGTTTCTCCAGAAGCAGTATGACTTGACACTTGCAAATTAAATCAGACTGAAGCCTGGACACTCCCTGTTAGTTCAAGTACAATTGTCTCCGAAAGTAATTGATTCTTTTTGCAAAGATCCAGCAAGATCTTTACTCAAAGAGGGAGCCAAACAACTAAAGAGATGCTTGCACCCAGAGCCAGAGCACCTTCACTACATACACTGGGTGTCTCTCACCCGGCTGTTTGAGAGGTTTCTTTGGGTGCTTGTGCCCACAGTCATTACCATTCTCCTCTACACACCCTCTGGCCTCACCTTTTGTTTTGGCATGAGACACCATTGTTGCACTCCAAAACCTGAATGTGATTTTTCTTTTCTGTAATGACACATTTTTCCTGTTCCTTATATATCCTACAACATCAGGTGTCTTTCTGAACTAAATAAGTAATTAATAGATTATTCTGCTCCACTAGTGGAGTAACAGAGTCTCTACAATGACAGCACTTCATTCTTTCCTTCCCAAATGGCACTTAAGCCCATCTAAACTCTATCTTCTCTGTTCTGCCCTTACCTAACCTGAATTATCTATTTGCATTACCAAGTTTCATTGTTTTATACTAGCGTATTCCCTTTAATATATTTCAAAGGGCACATAACCTTGCACTCTTCTGACCTACTGGAAGTCCTCATAGCAGTTTTCCATTCAGAAAATACTTTGCCATGTATCACCTACCTGCCTACTGTTATTCTGTGACCATTCTGGTTCTTAGTTTATTTGAGTCCATAAAAATTGACCTTATTTCTTCAGCATGGAAGAAACAACATTATCTCTTCATGCAGCATTACCTGTTCATCAGAGCAGGTTCTCATTACTTCCCACAAAGTCTTATTCACATTCACCAGGAGCTGATCCTGGACATTTGCACATGGTTTTAACCTGAAATATGGGGAAAACCACAGCTGAAATAAAGTCTTGATGCAACTGCACTGAGCACATAAAGCAGCACATTGGTATTTGTACAATGAATTCCCCTGTTCTAATTAAAACATGGACATGTAAATAATATAATTTAGTTGGGTTTCACAGCTTGGAGAGACCCTCAAAAGCCTTGATTAAATGGGGGTCATGCTTGATAAACTCTGGCACATAACTCAAAGTCCATTTCCTATAGTCTTTTGGTTGAGGGCAAGTCTGAACAGGAGGTGGGGAGCCAAAGAACAAGGAAGTGGTGCCAAAGAGGTTCTGAACAATCAAAAATCTTAGTACTAATTTTAAATTCTATCATAAAACTTGATTTTGTATAGAAATTGCAAAAGGCAGAATGAACCAGAAGCGTCCTTCAGATAAGGAAATAAATCGTGATAACACTATTTCAATCTAATAAACACTGGAATATTGGAACTAACAACAGATTGTGACCCGTTATTATTCTGCTTTCTATGTTTGATCATTTTGGATACAATTTTACAAGTTTAACTCTTCTGACATGTAACTGAAACACTCTATTATTGAAAGATCAATTACTTGAGGAAAACCACAACCTTCAGCATCTCCACAACCACAGCTCCTCCCCAGGATTAGCCCTGTGCCCCCTAAACCTGCAATAAACTGCCTACCAGCACAAAGCAAGGTCACGTAGCATTCTTTCTTTCTCCTGTATATAATGCATTAGCTTTCTTCAGGCCACTCTGCATGCAAGCAGAGCTGATAAAATAAAATGGCTAATATACTTTATGACTAAAACCCCACTTACTCCTTTATCAGCTGAGAAAGGGACTGGCAATCTTCTTCATAAATACGCAGTTTGGGGCGATGCACATACTGGCTGTACATGAGGTCTTGTGGGGTAGGAGCTGCACTGACTGCAACCTGAGGGGAACAGAGAAGTGTGAATAAACGAAAAAGAGATGTGTATTTGTCAGAAACAGTAACTTCCAATTCATGCACAGAAAGCAGCAAAAGGTCTGGAATCCTTACTTTTGTGCAAGAGGGGGAAAAAAGGCAATTTAGTCAATACAAATGATATTAATTTTGTTGTGATTCTTTTAAATCATTTTTTCTTTCATTGTGACAGTTTTAAAGAACTCTAAAACAGATACTTTTTACTTCACAGCATTTCCTAAGCTGACACACAGGCATTTTATTCAGTTGGCATAGAACCTCAGAGTGGTTTGTGCTGGAAGGGAAGTTAAAGCTCCTCCAGCTCCAACCCCTGCCAGGGCAGGGACCCCTTCCACTGGAGCAGCTTGCTCCAAGCCCGTGTCCAACCTGGCCTTGAGCACTGCCAGGGATGGGGCAGCCACAGCTTCTCAGGGCACCCTGTGCCAGCGCCTCAGCACCCTCACAGGGAAGAGCTTCTGCCTTAATCTAACCTGAGCTTCCCCTGTTACAGTTTGTGCTTCAGTTTGAACCCATCACCCATCGCCCTCTCGCTACAGTCCCTGATGAAGTCTCTTGCGTGAAGCAAGGCAGAACACCCCACTGCTGTGTGTGAGCCCCCCCCCCCCCCATAATCAGCTGTGTGCTCTGGCTTTCTGCAGACTAACAAAACAAGGCCCACAGCTGCAGTCCTTAGTTCCCAAAAGACATCTTCATTTCTAATCTGAATATTCTACTGACGTGTTTGCCCTGACAATGTGACATCTTACAGCAGTAAGACTTGGTTATACAGGAGCCAGTGTTCTACTAGTCTGAGTCCTAGAATGAATTCCACAAGTATGAATTTTCACAGATATTCCACTGTCCATGTGAAGAATATGATCTTGACCACACCTCTTCATATATAGTAATTACCTCACTCTCACACTTCTTATCATAAAGACGTATTAACAATTCCTATCAAAAGGGGTGTCACACCACCCATTCGGCAGAAGGAAGACCAAATCTCAACAGAACTTTGAACAGACTGTTGAAAAGTTCTCAGCACTCCAGAATAAAGTTCTGGCATAGAAGAAACTCCCAAACCAGTGTCAAAATGCCTCAGTGCGTTTCCATGCCCCAGTGCATCCTTCACTGTGCTGGTAGAAACTGTAGGAGGCAGCAGGAAATGGAAGGATTTGAACTAAATCCCTATGTATATGAAAGCTAAACACTGCAGTCTTTCTAACAAACTCCCTCTGGTTGAGAAATGGGAAACTTTTTTCTTTATAGAAAGAAAACTAAGGAGCTCATTCACACCACATTTCCCATTTCGCATTACATTTGCCAGACACCAGAGACCAACCCCAGCATCCCACTGGAAATTGATTTGGCTGCAAAATGTGCACAAATGCACACCTCTGAAACACTCATCTTAAGAAAGCTTATATGAAATAAGGTGCCTTTAAGGTCAGTGATGTGATGGATATCAATGGATACTCACACTGGCTGGAATATGGCTCCGCCGAGGCTTCTGAATTGGAACGTGGACTTGAATCAGTGTAAAGAACTCCCCAACTGTGATAACACCACTCCGAAATTTCTGTAAAGATTAGGGAAAACCTATAGATGAGCACGTTTTCCAAGCAAGAACACTTATTTGCACATACACACACGTTTTTTCCTGTTAGGACAAGAAGTTGGCATCGTTCAGCTATTTACATACCTCCCGTAAGTTATCCTCACAGATGCTGTCATTGAAAAGCTGAGACTCCATCTTACTGCTCCGTTGGACTAACCAAGAAACAAAGAGAGGGGGCACATTGCTTGGGTTAATAATGTTCCTATAGAAATATGAACCTAGGCTCATTAACTCTAGGGAAAAAAAGCAATATTAATGTACAGTTTTGACCTTTATGTGTGTGTTTCCAGTGCTGAATGAAGTACCTGAGGAAACAACTACTTGGGACACATAAGGAGGTCTGGTAACATAAAATCTGTGTCACAGTGGCAGTGAAATAACAGCTCACCTTCTGTGAGAGGAAAGCCAAATGTGACATACTAAAGACTACTAAGGCTGAGAAGGAGACTGCAACTGTTCACAGAGGGAATCCTGTGCAGCCAGAGACCAAAGAGCATCTGAGCTGCCAGCAGCTCTCAAGGTTGAAACCATTGCACTCTAATTCACAGGGCTCATTTCTCATTCAAAGGAAAGAGCCCAACTTCTGCTGGATAAGGCTGCATGAGTCCAAAATCAGATTGGTTTTGAAAGCAGAGGTGAAATATCCCTTATCAAATGACCAACAGATTTCTGCCTCACTGTTGGGTATCAGGTAATTAAACCTGGAGGTGAATATGCTTAGAGCCTGCCCCTGCAATGCACTCTGAGGAGTCTTTCCAAGAGTATAGCACCAAGGGGTGCAGACTCATTCTGCATGGAACCAGCTTAAAATCATCTTTGGGCCAGCAGTTTGAGCTGGGGCTTTGCTAAGGAAACAGAACAGTCTCATCAGCCCAACTGGCCTTTGAAATCAAAGCTGGACCTAAATTCTGCTCCTTTTTCTTCCCATCTTGGTTCTCCTTGAACAGCTTGGATTCTCAGCCAGAACAAAAAGGCATGGTACCTGGCTGGCAGCTGTGCCATGGGCATTCCCAAATTGAATTATAGAATCCCAGACTGGTCTGGGTTAGAAGGGACCTTAAAGCTCATCCAGTTCCAACCCCCTGCCACGGCAGGGACACCTTCCACTAGAGCAGCTTGCTCCAAGCCCCATCCAACCTGGGATTAAAACATGTACTACTGGTGGGGCTCTTCCTTCCTGAAGCATGAACAACACAAGGTTTGGGACTGGTACCACAAAGGGAATCTTACTTGTTAGTTCTGTGTCAGCCTTAACAGAATCCAGAGAGCTGCTGGTGCTGGCATGGGTACAATCAGGGCTTTTAGCTGAGAGGTTTGGAGGATCTTCACCTTCAGCAACTTCTGCTTGGCTTTGAGACACAGCACCAAGAGTCACCTAATGCCAGCAAGTTTAAAAGAAACAAAGTTATATAAAATAGAAGCTGAGCAGGAGTTTATTGTAGATATTTCCTGACATTCATAATTGTTTCATTTTTAGCATGGGTACATCTGATATCTAATCATCATGGCAGACAAGTTATTTCCTACAATAACATTTAGGAAGTAAAGCTGCCAAATCCTTCCTTCATTTTGGAGTCCAAGAAGGCTCCTCCAGCTTTCAGAACTAGAAAGTTTCTACTGATGATGAAAAACTTATTTATAAGGTCAGATGAATGTTTCAGATCAATATTCCATGTTTGCACATATTTTCTGGATTGAATCCCTATTTGTGCTGTCTAAAAAAGCTGATTTAAACTCAATATCCATCTTTGGATGCTAAATAGTTGCTTCAATTACTCCACCACTGTATCTAAGTCACTCTATATATCACTATCACTATAGCAAAGTGACAACTAGTAAATAGTTTAGGTCAGAGGATGTGGAGTATTTAGCCAGGAAAGGATCAAAAGGATGCTATGGAGAATGGTTTAAAATTGATATCTCCCTTATAAATAATACAGGGATGACATTGCAAAATGACAGCAAATGGGAGGTTAAGAGAAAAAGGAAACTTACCAACAGATGTTTCAACTTTTGGGTGTAACAAAAGCCCTCTTAGTGCCCACTGTACCCTTACAATGAGTGATTCAACTCACCTGCAGGTGTTGAGAGGCCTCACCATGCAAGTTTTCATCCCTCTTGGTCTTCTTTGGACTTTGAGGGTGCTCCTCATCTTGTTCCAAAGCTCTTTTTGTGTTGCAAGGTTTTGTCTCCTCAGTTTGATTCTTTTCATCATGGGAGACTGGGGTTTTGCTTATCTCATTGCACTTATTTTCCACGAGCATAGAGCTTTCAGATTCATTTGAATCCATTTCTTCCAGGCAGACAGGAAGAAATTCTTCTGCTATAAACTGAGAGGGGCTGAAGTTCTGCCACACAGGCTTCTTGTTATGTGGGGTTTCACCAGTGGTTACTTCTGCAACTGGTGCTTCTCTTTTGTCTGAGGACTTTGTATTTGTGTCTTGGTCACTAGAAACAGAAGGGTTCCTTCTGTTGGGTAACTTAGGCTGGAAGATACCCAGAGGGACATTTATTCCTTGGTATGGACCCTTTAAGGCCACACCTAAATGTGCACCTGTGGGAGCAGCTCCAGATTCAAGGCATGTGTCCTCCTGCTCTTTGGTGTTACTTGGTTCATTTACAGTATTTTTCCCTACCCTCAGAGTATCCTCTGGCTGAGCTGAGGAACTGGGCAACTGGACAGAAAGAGCAGTTTCAGAAAGAGGGAAAACTGCAGATTTCCTTCTAATATTCCTCAGTTTTGAACAAATATTTAAGATACCTGAGAAGTCAGAGGCACGAGTGGGGCCTGCTCGGTTTCTTGGACCGTCACTGACCACAAGTTGCTTTGTTTGGTCAGAGTTGATGTGAAAGTCTTTTGGTGGTGTCTCCCCTTCAGCTGACAGCCCCTGGTTTTCCTTTGACTCCTTGTTAGAGACAGTAACAAGATTTGCTCCAGCCAAGCCCAAGTCTGTAGCTAAATCTTCACCTCTACATGAGTCCTCTTCTAGTGCTTGGTTTCCCTGTGAACTACATGCATCTGGAGAACGTTTCGCTGCTGGACTGGGAAGTGAAACATGGGATGCCAGATCACCACTTCCCTCCCCACAATCCGTGGGACCCTCACTTGGAAGTTTGGAAGATTTTCGCTTTAAGTTCAGGGTTTCTGGTGGAATGAGATCCTGCTCCCTGCTCACAGGGACAGAATTATCCGTGGGAAGGTTCACATCCTGTGGTGCCCCCACACCCATGGTCTCTTCTGGAGGTGAGACAGAACACACAGGATTTGCTGGTGTGTCACTGGGGACTGGGATAGCTCCTTTCTTGCTCGGGAACACTGAGGCTGATGAGGCAGAAGAGGAAATGGTGGGCTCATCCTCAGATTTTGGATGACACTCACCATTCAGGTCTCCTGGATGTGAGGAATCTGTTTCATCTCTGCAAGAAGACAAGCCACAATGCAAGTCTGCTTGCTGAGTGCTCTTCTCTGATGCCTCCTGGTCCAATCCACTGATATTGTTATTAACAGCAACAGTGTGGGATGCAGTTATTTCCATATCATCCTGGTTGTGGGTGTACACAATGGTTTTATCAGCAGGAGCTGCAGACCTGGCTGGGATGGGCTCCCTGTACAGCACCATCTCACCATGCATCACCGCTGTCTGAGCTTTAGTAAACTCCATGTCCTCAGCCGAAGTGAAAATGACAGTTCTGGAACCTACCTCCTGTCCAAGCTGTTGGGCCATTTTCAGTCTGTCCTCACAAAAGCCTCTTGCAACACTTTGATCAACAGGGTGAGACTCAGTTTTTTCCATCTCAGCCTGGTTACTTGTGAACATCACTGTGGGAGTCACAGGAGCAGCCCCACAGAGCTGCCTACCTGGCAAGGGATCCTCTTCCACAGGTACATGATGGGTTCTGGTGACGTCCATATCATCCAGAGCAAACACAGTAGCTTCACCATTTGAAAGCACTTGGTCTCCAGCCACCTTATCCCACTTTGGTTTATCATCACATGCAACTTTTACAGCAATTTTATCAGCAGAGCAAGACCTGATAGTGTCCGTGTCAGCCTGACTGCATGTGAACACAGCAGTTTTAATGGGATGAGCTGAAGAGAGGGATTGAGGCCCTGCCTCATTCTGCAAGACCATTTCATGGCCTATGGCAGCTGTATGGCTCTCTGTGATCTCCATGTCATTATTGTCATCATTCAGTGAAAACAAAACAGTCTTTTCCCCTGCTGTTCCCGTCAAGCTTTTCCTTCCAGCCCTTTTAGCTGTTTTAAGTATTCCTAGAGACCCAGCCTTTTCCATAGGTTTAGCAATTGTAGCAGTAGCCAGTCTACTTATTTCCATATCATTATTGTAGGTAAAAACACAAGTTTGATCTCCAGCAATTAAGGATAGGTCATCATTGGAACTTCTAAGCTGCACAGTTACTTTGTTGTCTGCTGACACTGTGTGGCTCCTGGTGATGTCCATGTCAGCATCTTCTGAGAATATGGTCTCATCTGGAAGAGGCAGATGTTTTAAACCACCCATGGTTAATGTTTTCTTGCCAGCTGCCAAGGAGTGCACATCACACACAGGCTGCTCCTGAGGATTCACTGTCATTGTGACCCCTTTACTTAAGGACATTATTTTGTTTTCATCCTGGACACTGAATCCAGGTACTGCTTTTCCTGCTGATAAAGCAGCAGTGATGTTTCCTGTCAAGTCCATGTTTTCACCAGAGGGAAACACAACTGGCTTCCCAAAGAACGAAGGCACTTGGGCATGTCCCATGTGTGGCTCAGAGGCAGGGGCCTCAACTGGCTCCTCAGCACCCCTCAAGCACAGGCCACCAGCTCCATGGGGACTTTTAAAAGCCTCCTCAGAAGAAACTGTTTTACCCACTGCAAAACCTCTCCTAGAATCTTTCTCCTGCTTGCCTGAGCTTTGGCCACTCGCATTTAGTCCTAATGCTGTTCCACGCTGTTCATTCCCTTTCATTCCAGAGGGAGCAGGCTCATTACTGGGAATAAATGAACCATTTGGAGCCAAAGGAGTAACAGTTTGATTATTGGTGTTCATTTTCAAAGCCACACGTTCTGCTGGTGCTGTCTGACTCATGACCTCTACACCAGGACTGGTGGAGCACTGGGAGGTCTGGTTCTGCTGCGGCTGGGATAACACTTTACTGTTGTTATGATTATTCCCATGTTCTTGTACTGCATTCACAGGAGCAGCAGCAAAGGCAGGAGGATGAGTTTTGGCCATGTTGCTGTTTTGTTCACCTGAAAATGTGCCTGTTCTGTCATTTGTGCTGGAAACTGAAGCATTTAGAAGGCTTTTTCCCAAAGGTTGTGCCATAACTTTTTGACTTTGCAAAGACACAAATGCACAGGATTTGGCGATACTGTTCTCAGGGACTTCTCTCTTTTGCTGCTGCAATGGACATGCAGTCTTTGCACAGGAACCTGCACCACTTGCTTGAAAGTTTGGTTTTCCAAGCTGCTTCTCAGCCATCTCAAGATCCATAGTATTCAATTTCCCAGCCTGGCTTCTTTTAACATTCCCATTGGTACTGATCACCTCACGATTTTCCTTGTCCGTATCTGAATAATTTGCACCTTCACTGACATTTGTGTTCTGGTTCTTTCTTGGAATTATTTTACAATGCATTTGTTCTGCTTCTGCAGTTATCTTCTTGCCGTGATCATCAATGACAACAGCATGGCACTTGGTTATTTCCATTTCTTCCTGCTCATCTGAACTGGGACATGTAGATTTGTTACCAAGAAAATGAGGTTTGCAGGGGACAGAGGTGAACACTCCAGTGGGACGTTCGCTTTCAGCATTCTCTCCATCCTTGACAACACAAGCCTTGGTCAGGTCCATGTCTTCTCCTGAGAATATCACTGTCTTCTCACCTGGCAGGGAAACAAGCTGCGAGTTCCCTAGCCTGTGCTGGAGTCTGCTCTTGGGAACCCCACAGGATGCTGGATTTGTACAGGAATCAAAGCCAGCATTTGCTGCAGCATTCCCATGATCCTGGGACACTTTCTTTATTAGTTCATCCGAGCCTGAGGGCACTTCAAGTGCGCTGGCTTTATACAACACAGGAGCTCCATGATCTGAAGCTGTCAGGCTCTTTGCAATGTCCTTACCATCACGTGCCACATGGCTGTGTTCTGCCAGCACAGTGTTTGCATTAACTGGCTTTTCAAAAGCTTTAAGATGTGAACTGTTCATTTCTTTGGTACTGTCACTACAGATGACATCTGTGTAATTCCTAGTTATTTCGATGTCCTCACATTTAGACACATCAACGGTTTTATCACCTCGGAAGACAGTCTCAGAAGAAACAGTTCCTGGGATGGTGCCCACTGCTCTGGCCTCTTGTTTAGCAGCTCGCAGCACAGTGGGATCTCGCCTGTCTTGAAGTGGTTTTCTGTCTGTGCAAAGCTGAGCGTCCTGCTGAACAATTAAGTTCTGATGAGATGGTCTCTCTAACGTGGAATTGTCCAACCCTGTGGATGGGAAATCCTTTTGGAAGTTTGGACTTTGATTCCCAACACTGGAGGAGGGAAAAGACACCTTTGCAGTGTGACTGGTTGTCATATCCATCCCATCATCTGCAAAGGCCCTGGTGACATCCTCACACTGTAATTGCTGTGGTGGAGCTTGAGAAGAAAACATGGCTTTGACAAAAGATCCTTGGCATTTGGTCACTTCCATCCCATCATGTTCCTCTCTAAAGACTTTGGTCACGTTGCAGGTGTCCAGTGGCTCATGGGAATATGCAAATTCCACTGATGATGGTGCCACAGCTTCTGGGACTTGAGAAGGGATAAAGAAAACATTCTCTTTCTCAGGGCCCTCCACAGGGGTGAGTGTCTTCTCGTTTGACTTCAGGCTCATCAAAAATTCATTGAAGTCTATTTTTTTTACAGTAGCATCATCTTCTTTCTGTTCTGAAGATGGACACAAATGGCTTGTAGGATCAGAGAAGCACTGCAATTCTTTGCTCCCTTCTGCGTTCCCACTGTTAGAGTTTAACCCTGCCAGAAAGGATTTGATATCTATTTTCTCAGTGTTGTCAGCCTGGTTGTTCTTCAGGTTACGTGTGATGACAGCGGTGTGACTGGCTGTCATATCCATTTCATTCTCCTCTGAAAAGATGAAGGTGGTGTTGTGCCTGTTTTGTCTTTGAGCGGCATTGTCTGCATCATACCACTGGAAAAAACCCAACCAAAAACAAACAAGACACTTAAACCCAGTGATACAATGGTTTATTCTCTTTAAAACAACAGTCAATTGATGCAGTACTAAGGTTAGAGCTTAAGCTTTATATCTTTTTGGGAAAAGAACAATTGGTTTGGGTCCTCCTTGATAAGCGAGAACACATTCAAGGAAAGACAACTTAATTCTTAGAGCATACCATATTTAAATGGCTTTTTTGGAAAGAATATGTCTTAGTTCTACTCTTGGGCAATGACTTCATATCTAGACATGTCTTAGTAAGCATGGAGCAATTACAGTCACAGGGATCAGTCTTATGGATCTTGTGGTTTCCACCTTTCCCCCCTCTAACTGCAGGTGAAAACCTTGCCCAGCTTCTCATGCACTTGAGTTACATTTTTCATCTTTACTACACAAATTATTGGAATATATTTTGGACAGTGATATTTTCAGCACCAAAGCCAAATAAAACTCTTCACGTACCTCAGTCTGCTGCACCAGTGCCTGGATAGGGGCATGAAGCAGTGTGTTCATCCCTGTTCAAAGAAAAGGGAATACTTCATTTGTTGTTTTCTTACTATTTTGTTATTATTTTATCCACTGAGCTGAAGAGCTGGGCACTCATTTTACAAGTACCACTACGTAAGTACAGTTAAGCCCAAATGTATCCTGAAAAGTTATATTTGCAGTACTCCTTGCAGTGTGTGAAGAGCCACCCAGACTCCTACAGTACAATGTTGGCAACACCTTCATGGGACAAAGCCTGCTCATGCAACCATCACCTCAGTCAGAGATGATGAAATTATTCAGAGTCAAGACTTTTAACTAAAGACATTAATTTTGTTATTAAATCTATCTCCAAACTCACCAGTGATCTCACAGGGAACAGCCTCAGGTTCTTCATTTCTACAAAAGGCAGGGGAGGTAAACAGTTTGTTAGAGGATTTTCTTTAAGGCCCCTTCCAACCCCCACTCATTCTGTGACCCCAGGATTTACCACCAGAAACCTTCAGCAACATACTGACAAGCAGAGAATTCTGCTGCACAGCTCAGACAGGGCTGGCAGCAGACACCAACACCACTTGTGAGCTGAAATCTTATTTTCCCCAGAGTTTCTCTTATCTCAGCCATTGGTCAACATGCAGGTGGCATTTCAATTCCTCAGTGACAAGTGAAAAAAGAGCAGAGATGAATTCTTTATTTTTAACTCAGACCTTCCACTTTTAGTTATTCCTTTTCTCTTTGGGAAATTGAAGCTGTGTTCCTAAAGCCTGGAATCATTTTGCTGTAAAACAAAAAGCCAGATACAGTGTCCAGCTTGTGTGGTTTTCTGTCTAACTTACAATGCAGTCTGCTCTCCACTGCTGTATCGATTGCTCTTTCAAGACCAAGAAACCTTAGCTAGAGTACTGGGGTTTATTTTTGTTTATACATATTATATAGATTTATGTTTATATAGATATATGCATGTACACACACACATATATGTGTTACTATCTTGGGTTGATACTATTAAAAACATGAGTTAACTATAGCTGTTTCCTTGCTATGTATTTCAAGCATAAGAAATCCCCCATGGAATTCTTCACCCATAGACAGTGTCTCAACCTGTTTAAATCAGATTTATCACAAGATGATAAAATTCTCTGATAAATCTGTTCCTTCACTTACCTCTTGATTTTTAAAATCCCATCAAGTTTTATTTAGATAAGAACTTTGAGGCTAGACTAACACTTCATCTGCCCCTGAGGGAAAAAGTCCTGGTAAGAAATAGCAAAGACTCTGTCGGGCAGGTACGGAAACAGGTTTCTCCTGGGAAACATTCCCAAGCAATCAGCTTTCAAAGGAAACAGTTTCAAGGAATAACTGTTTGATTTTTCAGAAATTAACATCTTTCTGTAAGTGACAACACAGCTGAATCCTTTTTCTGCCCTGCATCCCTTCTTTTACCAACAGCACTCAGCAGTTTTCCATCTACAAACACACACCACATTTCCTTGAGAGGTAATATTTTGCATATCATGTGAAGAAATGTATTTGCAGGACAGAGCTCATTAGTCATGGGAATTCTTTTTAACTTACTCATTCAAGGCATCATTCTCTGTATCTTCTGCACACTCTAAAAAAAACAAGCGAATGACAACATTACAATGAGAAGCATGATCATGCCTGGGCAGAGATCATGGAATGGTTTGGGTTGGAAGGGACCTTAAAGCTCATCCAGTTCCAACACCCTGCCGCAGGAAGGGACACCCTCCACTAGAGCAGCTTGCGCCAAGCCCCGTCCAACCTGGCACTTGATGATCTTCAAGGTCTTTTCTAACTTACATGATTGTATAAGACATCCAGAGACAAGAGTAAACTGCACAGAACAGAGTGTTCTGAAGTTCTCACTCTTAAGTGCCTTCTTATCGTGGCAAAACCCCAGAGAAGCCAAGTACTTGAAAAATACATTAGCTTTTCAGACTCTTGCTGGGCAATCTTTTGATAGAATGAATAGAACATTCTGCTCAGTCTTGTGTTGATGGAAATGAATTTTGTCTGAAAAAAATAAGTCTTTTTCTGAGCCACAAGGTCCACAGAACCAGTAACTACCAGGTTTTCAGCCCATCCAGGACAAGCATCTGAGCATACTGCTGTTTTCTCGGGACTGACAGGCCTGACTTCTTAAATTCAAGCTAAAATCCTGTTGCTAATAGCCTGTGAATCCTGTCAGGAGGAGAAGGAGATTTACCTGTATTTTGTCTCTCTGCCGTGTTATTCTTAAGATCTGGCTGGAAGACTCTGCAGCTAAGAACAAAAACAGCACCAGTTTTTGAAAGTACAAACCCATCTGTTTCAAAGCAAGTTAAACCAATCCAAAACAAACCAGCCCTAACTTAAAGCTTTTCCACGTAGTATGTTCTGAAACGCGGTATCAAAAACCAGAATTGTATTGAACTTAACTGTATTTTCTAGTGAGAAGATGCCATTACCATCAGTAAGATGGAAATAACTAAAAAACTTAATGGGATATAAAAATTCCTGATTATATTAAATTCACTGAACTGTTTCTTTCCAGCTAGGAAGAGAAAATCAGAAGGCCTCCTCTCTTAAGTCTCAAAATCAACTAGTGTAACAAAAGTCACCCGTCTGCTGCTTTCATACATTTGGGAATTCTCAGTGCAGGCAGTCTAGGGGATGCCAGGATACAGCCTGCAGTTTATGCTTCAATAAAGACTGCAGATCTGCATCCTTCAGCTCAGACTTACTTTATGGTGTTGGCAAAGCTGACACGGCGGGAGTTCCTCCTGCGTCTCTCTGTGTTGATCTCCTGACAATAAAGAACACAACAGTTCGATGCCCATAAGACTGGTCTGACTCTAAGCCACAATAAGCATAGCAACAAAATAAACACAACAAAATAAACCCACCCCCAAAACCCAACAATCTAAGTCCCACACATACAACAGATCATACTAGTATCCTTTAACTACTTTAAGCAGCTTCTTAAACTGCTTTATAGTTCTCCAGCTCCTCCTGGCACCCACTGCATAAGAATTAACATCTAAAGAGCTCTTTCTGAGAACTGCCTGGTTCCACATGCAAGAAGCAGAACACCAGTCATAGGATTTTTATCTGGCATATCATCTGCCATCCACGGGAAAACAGATGCAGTTGTTTAGCAAGAGAATTGTGGGGGTTTTTCCTTTAGCTTTCCATTACAAGAACTGAAGAAAAAACCCCCAGACCAATAATGGTTGCCTTTATGGGAGAAATGGAAGGATTTCTGAAAGAATGTCACCATTTTCCTACAGAAATGTTTAAATGGTGTCACTGACTACGTAGCCATAGTAACGCATTGTTGCAAGGGATGTAAAGATGCAATATTACATGTGCTGGAAAGCTAATCTGTCATACCACTGCTGTGCAGTTGTCTGCAATAAGCTTCCCTAACTACATAGCTCAGTCTCAGCACAGTGGAACACTTGTTTAAGAAGACAAAGTACTGACATTGTTATATCCATGTGAATAAAGCTTGTAAAACACTTTATTTCCTTTAAAAGGATGCTAGCTCCACAAGCAGTTCTGAGTGATGTCAATGACAGTCTCCTGTTGCTCCTTAGCAGAACTGCCCATCACTGTTAACAGGCATTAAGGCTGAGATGAAGACTGTGAGTTGCTCTGTATTCTCAACCAAGGTATGAAATCGATGTGTTGTGCACAAATACTTCAGGCTCACATTGCACAATCTAGAGAAATTATGGGAGGCTTTTTCACTGAAAGCCTTATATGCTAAAAAATGACTTTTCAGGTTCTGTAACCAGCAGCAGATAAAGCATATAAATGTGTGATGCAATTGGAACCTCAGTCCATAGAACATGCCCTGGTAGAAATGGCATTTAGAAAGAAATCCAAACCAAACAGGCCTATAATTACAATTCCTAAGAAACATCTATAAGCATGAAATGTATTCCCTTTGTATTTCTGGAAGAAAATGTTCACTTTTTAGCTTTTACTTGAAATAAGTTGGCAGGCTGATTATTTTTCAGATCTAAAATCCCTCTTACTGACTATACCAGTTTGTAACTGGTGGATCCAAGTAAGGCTACAGCAAGAGCAAGCTACACCTGATGATCTCTTTTTATTCCTCTTTTCTTGATTGAACAAATATTCAGGTGTAAAACAGAAGTATAAGAAAAACTCCATGGTTTCCTTGTAATATTTAGAATTCCAAACATTATCCTCCCAAGCAGTTATTACAAGGGTTTGTACACCTGCATTATTCTAGTGACACGGTTCAATCAGTAACAAGTTGAGAAGCAAAGTGAAGGTGTGAAGAGCATCAGTGAGAAAGGACATAACAGACCTACCTGTGTTAATTCATTCCCATTTCCCAGATCATCCAGAGGATTTCGTGGAACCTTTAAAATCTAAAAGAAAATACAACAGTTGAGAAGATCAGCTCCAACTACAAGGACTGATGACTTGGCTGGAGAGTTTCTGAGAGCCACCAGTGCCCTAGTCGGCCTTATCAATCTAGCAGGCTCTCTCTTTGCTTTTGGGATGCTTTACTTCAGCTGTGAGGAAAAAACCAGCTCCTCTTTGCAGCTTCCCTTTCTTTCCTTCGGTCACTCATGTGGTTTTCTTTTGACAAATGCCTTAGGTTACTCACAGAGGACAGCCGCTTGCCTCGGATGCTCTCTGTGTTGTCACTGCAAGGGAAGAAAGGGAAAAGGATGTTAGAGCATAATCCTGAACCACGATGTATCTCTTGGACAGTATTTAAGGTTAAGAAATTGATCACTCCATTCTTTTTACAAGTGGGCTTGTTAAATAAAGAAGCTTGTTTAGAACAGATCATTCATCCCAGCAGTAGTTCCCAAAAACAAGATTTGGAAAACTCAGCAGATGAACGCCAGGGTCAGACATTGCCCAGACAATCTGCTGCTATGAAGCTCCCTCTGTGCTTTCCTACACATGATCAAATAAACCCCCTGTTCCTCTTCTTCACTGTGGAAACCACCCACATTTCATTTGAGAGATACTGAAATGCACACAGGGATTAAGAAAACTTTTGCTTCTCAACGATATTTACACCACAATAAAATACTTCCAAGGTTTCAACTTACATTTCCAAGTTAGGGTCTGTGTAAGCCTTCTCCATTTCTGAAGAATGTGGTACTGCAATCCAAAAACATTAACAAACCTCAGTGAGAAAACTGCATAAACCCACAAGTAGATACGAGCCTTTGATGCTGTCATTCTTCTCTCCATCTTTCTCCAGTCACAGAAATGCACTGGAGTAGAATAAGCCTCAAGTCCATGTTTTATTTTTATATACCATGCCGTAAAAGAGCTGTGCTCACAGTTCAAGTTTTATTGTGAGGTGTCCTTCTCTTTAAAGTGAAGATTGCAGTAACTGTTGGAAATCAAATCTTACACAACACAATTTTTGAGTCAATCCTTCCCTCACACAAGAAATATTCTATGTGAATACCAATAACTCCCACTAGCACAGAAAACCACACAGCTTATTGTATGGTTTGTAAGGGGATCAAGTTAAATTAACCCACACTGACAGGATACAGACTTTATATTGCTTTGTTTCTTGTAAAATACAGCTAACTCAGGGCTTTGAATACCAGGTTAATATTCCTTGCAATTCGGTCTCTCATGGACCTGACAAACACCACCAAAACTATATTTGAGAAGATGAACATAAGCCAGCAGTGTGCACTCGCAGCCCAGAAACCAACCATATCCTGGGCTGCATCAAGAGGAGTGTGACCAGCAGGTCAAAGGAGGTGCCCCTCTACTCTGATGAGACCTCACCTGGAGCATTCTGTGCAGTTCTGGTGTCCTCAACATAAAAAGAACATGGAACTGTTGGAACAAATCCAGAAGAGGGCAC